TTTAATAATTTGGTCCCTTCCTGTCTTTCCAATATTCTTCTTATACCTTACCCTTCTTCACATACTCTGTGATCTAATGACATTTGTCTCCCTGCTTCTTCTCATATTACACTCCATCTCCCAACTCTGAGCATTTTCTCTAGCTGTCCCCCATGCCTGTAATGTTCTCCTTCAAGCTTCACTGGCTTCGTCCAAGTCTCAGCTAAAGTCCTGCCTTCTGCAAAGTCTTTCCACACTTCCTTAATCTTAGTGCCTTCCTTCTGAGACTACCCTCAATTTATTATATATATATATGCATATATAATATGTATGCATATGTATATCTTGTTTGTACATAATTGTTTGCATGTTATTTAACTTGTTAGACTGTGAGCTCCTTGAGAGCTGGAGCTGTTTGTTTCCCCTGTTCTTAGCACAGCATCTGGGATATAGGAGTCTTTTTTCTTTTTGGCAAGGCAACTGGGGTTAAGTGACTTGCCCAGAGTCACATAGCTAGTAAGTGGTATGTGTCTGAAGCCTGATTTTAACTCAGAGGTCCTCCTGACTCCAGGGCTGGTGCTCTATTTACTCTGCCACCTAGCTGCCCTCGAGTAGACTTTTTATAAATGCTAATTGACTTGCCTTTGAGGGATCAGAAGAAGCATCAAGGAATAGGTATAATACTAAATGAAGGACGAAAGTGGAAAATGTTGGAAATTTTGGCTTAAGATTTAGAAACAAAATAGGGTCAAGGGGCCATACACCACAAAGAAGCCTCATGAGAAAGTATTAGGAATACTCTTGTCAAGAAGAGAGTTGGTAAGTACTGAAAGACATCCCAGAAAATGAAATTAACTCTATCTTGATGAAGTGGAAATAACTGGTTACTGATATTATTAGTTATTAATAATATATAATATTATTAGTTATTTTTAAATCAACTGTGTTTGTGCAGCCAGACCATTGATTCATTGCAACAAAAGTCTTCAAGGTAAGCACCAAATTAGAAGGATAAAGCTGAGAAGACACTGTGTGTGTTTACAACAGCCTCTTGGTGATTAAAATGGAAAATACAACAAGGAAAAGGCTGACATGGACAATCCCAATTTTCTACAGAAATTAATGAATATAAAATTATTACAATAATAAGGCCAACAGAGTACAGAAACTCACTCAGCCAGCAAATGTTTCCCAAATTGAAGGGAGAAATAAGTTTTTGGAAAGCTTGACATAAGTTAAACTAGGTCACTGCAAGAACATTTAATGATGGAACTGGAAGAAGGACAGCAAGCAGATAAAAAATGAAATAGTTATGTCAGCATTTCTATAATGAACTATTTTCTGAGATGGGGAACCAATCCATCATCTCAGTCCCTGATGTGTTAAATGTGGAAGTAGAAGTAGTCGTATAGAAGATGAAGATAGGAAGAACAGCTGACCCTGAACTAGAGAAAATACATTCTGGAGGTGACACAATTTGGGAGGTTTTGAGAGGTCAATTCTTTTTTGTTTTGTTTTTTTTAATCTTTCATCTATTTTTATTTTTCAATTATCAAGTAACAATTTTTCTTCTTCCTACCTGCTCCCATAGGGAAAAAAAGAAAACAAACCCCTTGTAACAAATATGTGTAGTCATGAAAAACAACCCCCCAAATTGTCCATGTTAAAAAATGTCTCATTTTGAGTATTTAACCCATCAGGAGGTGGATAGCATTCTTCATCCTTGGTCCTGTGAAATCATGGTAGATCATTTTTAGTTCAAAAAGTCTTTCAGAATTGTTCATTTTAATGGTGTTGTTGCTATAAAATTTCTTCTGGTTCTGTTCACTTTACTCTGCATGAGCTAGTCAATAAACATTTGTTAAGTATTTACTATGGGCCAGGCACTGTGTTAAATTCATACAACTCTTTCTAGGTTTCTCTGAGACTCCTCTTTTCATCATTTCTTATAGCACAATTGTATAACATTACATTCATATACCATAATTTGTTCCGCAGTTGACAGGCACCTCATTAGTGTCCAGTTATTTGCCATTACAAAAAAAGATGCTATAAATGTAATACTTTAATAAATATAAAATAATACCATAAATAAATATATAAATTCTAGATATAAATTATAAAATAAATTTGTAAGTAAATATAAATACTTTGTGCTTATAGTCTTTTTTCGGACCTCTTTAGAGCTATTGGTCTAGTAATGGTATCACTGGTTCAAAGAGTATTCATAGTTTGGTGACTTTTGTGGCATAGTTCCAGATTGTTTCACCAATAATGGACTGTTGCTCCCTGTGCTCCCAAACCTTTCAACATTTGTCATTCTCCTTTTTAGTCAATTTTGTCAGTCTGATAGGTATGAGGTAGAACCTCTGAGTTGCTCTAATTTGCATTTCTCTATATAGTGATTTGATGCATTTTTTCATATCGCAATGGAAAGCTTGGATTTCTTCCCCTGAGAACTTTCTTTTCATATCTTTTGATCATTTATCAATTGGGGAATGTCTCTTATTCTTATAAATTTGAATTAATTCCCAATATATCTTGGAAATGAGACCTTTGCCAGAGAAACATCTTGCAAAGATTTCCCCCCTCAGTTAACTATCCCTTTTAATCCTAGAGGCATTGGATTTGTTTGTGCAAAAACTTTTAAATTTTCTATAGTCAAAACTGCCCAATTTATCTTTTGTGATCCTTTCTATTCCTTGTTTTTGGTTATAACCATCTTCTCTAGCTATATATTCAAAAGGTAATTTCTTCCTTGTTCCCCTAATTTGTTTACAATGTAACCTTTCATATCTAGGTCACGTATCTATTTTTTAAATGATTACTATGGAAGAAAGGCAATGGACAGGACATTAATAATTACAGATCCTATGCCTTACTCTCTCATCTTTGTACAAAGTTTATAGAATGATCTATCGATGAATTAAAGTTTATAAGACATTGACAAAGCTGTGAAAAGGGAACAGGCAAGCTGTCAAAATCATATTCTACAATAGATTACATCTTCATAGTCACACAATTGGGGGAAAGATTCAGAGAATACAAGGTCCCAATATGCTTATTTTTAGATAATTATAATTTTTTAAAATTTAGTAAAGCAAAACACAGTCTTAAAGCCTTTAACAGAGAGTTTCTCAAGCATGTGCTAAGTTTGTACAACATTAATCAATAAATGCAACAACAGGGATAACTTTGTTTAATAATAGTCTATCAGTTTAAAAAATTCTATTGAATAATTTTGTCTTGACGTAGTAAGCAGAATGTTAAAAGTTGTCACAGGCCTTCAAGGTCATCATAATCCAAAACAAACGCTAACTATATCTGACAATTGATCACTCAGTCTTTGGAGTCTTGAAGACTCTTACAATCTGCTGACAGGTGACAAAGAGCTGGAGGGGTTGACAGAGAACTCATGAGGATGCTGCTGGGATCAGAACAAGCCGTGTATATAAGCCTAATAGGCTTATAGGTCTGAGGATCATGTGACTTCTTGTGTCCTCAGTGCCCTTACATAGGGGATGACTAGGTACATAGCAGACTTAGACCTGAAAGGAGAGTCCCACGTATTGTACTCAGGGCTTATATGTGGTTTCAGTTACTGGATGTAGATTCGGCCTCAGCCCACCAGTCAGGTAGCAAGAGGAACAAAACAGGTTTATGGAACCAAGCATGGGGATGTGGTTTTGGAACAAGCATGTTTGGGTAAGAGCACTTTTAGGAAAAGGCATTGAGTGATGTTTTATGCTAAGCCTTGTATACCTTGCACAAGTGTTATTTCAGGGCACTCACAGGTCAAAAATGGATGGTGCACCAATATGGGGCAACTCTTGCTCGGGCAAGGTAGCCCAGCCCTGACACTTGCCAGAGCAGCCTATTCCACTTTTAGATAGCTCTAATTGCTGCACACAACCTCCCAGAAAACTGTAAATGATCATCCTGCAGAGTACCTTTTCTAAAAAGAATTAAGCACACTTGCCCCAAGAATAGATACAACTGATAATACTGTCACTTTCTGTTTTTGTATCATTTTCTGAATGAAAGATGTATGCTTTAACTTTAATAATTTGGTACCCGTGTGGTTCATGGTATGTAGCTTAAGGGTTTGTTTGGGTTTTATTTTGGGGGGCCATTTTGTACTGCCTTCATTTGTGAATATACTTGAGCTTTTCCAAAACTTCCAGAAAATGGTTGGGAGTAAAAGATCAGTAAGGATCAAGAAGGCTATGAAATATATGTTGCTATATGTTTCCCAGAGTCCTTGGGTTGCCATTTTCTTTGCCCTTGAAGACATTTCCTGCCCCAAGTTTTTCAGTTTGGGAGCAAAAATGAAAATCCTGTCCAAACTCCATTTTGAGTTTTCCTTTTAAGCATATGAACTGGAAGGAGGGAATGGCACGTTGAGTCCCAGTGCTATAGGTGAGGCTGAGTAGCTACAAAAGTGAGAACTGAGATTTTCAGAAAACTGAAGTTTTCTGGTGTCCTAGCAAAGATCAGAGTAGCAATGAAGTGATAAAAGGGGAGCACAGTGGAAAAAGATTTAGGACTGATAGGGTAAGAGAAGTTTCCTAAAGAAATTGAGCAGAGGTAACTCTAGTATGCTTTCTATCTGTTCCCTTAGAGCATTTACTGAAGAAATTTCTGAGTCCTAAAATTGACAATTTCTTTCCTTTTGTCCCTTCCTTTTTATTAATTAGGAAAAGGTTTGGGGTAAAAAGGGAATTTGATCCAAGCTGCTGCAGTAAATTCTGCAAATCGGAATTAGAAATCCTCCTCCAGTTTTGTTTGGTGTTTATACAATACCTGATTATTTCCAAAATTCACGTAACAGTTAAAAAAAGAAAAAAATACATGAATGTAGGTGCCTTGAATAAAGGAAGAAGAAACCAAACATAGGTTGGGGGCTTGAAGAGCAGATGTGAGAGGGAATTCTTATTTTTTGGTATTCTGAGGGGCATATTATAAATCATAACTTATCTAGCATTCATAAAACCAAGGAACCAATTAGAATTTACTGTGTGTTTGGGAGAGCGTGGTGGCTGGTGGAAGGTGGAGTAGTAAATTACATATTTTCCATATTTCATCAGGTGGTAAAGGAGTATACTATACTCTCTTCTCCTCCGCTGGTTAATTAGTTAATTGTGGGAGCATCCTCCTGCTTTCTGTAAATAAGAAAAAACAGAGGGAATAAGCTGGTTCAGACAGGCACATATTAGCTGTTCAGCACCACTATGTGGAATTTGAATACTTACCACACACACTATTTATTACATATCCATCTGTATTCGTTGTGGTTGTCATTTGGTATATTCTTTTGGCTCTGCTTTCTTTAATTGTATTATTTTATACCACTCTTCCTTGTTTCTCTGAATTACTCATATTCATCATTCCATATGGTGCTATAATAATTAATCACATTTATGTGCTACAATTTGTTTAAACATTTTCCACTCATCAGGCACATAATTTGCTTACAGCTTTTTGTTATTACTAGCAGTATGGCTATCAATATTTTTGAGATTAAAGTTCTTTTTCTTGCTGTCAATAATCTTTGTAGTATAAATTCAGTAGTGGGGTCATTGGGTTAAAAGGTATGAGCAACTTAGTAAACTTTCTTGTCTGTCTTCCCATAGCCCTCCAAAATTTAATATTTTCATCCTTTAGTATTTTTGTCAGTTTGATAAGTATAAGGTAACATATCACAGGGTTTTTTTATTTGCATTTATCTGACTTTATTAGTGATTTTGCTTCTAAAAAATGTGTTGGGGATTTTGAATAATTTTAGATAATTATTGATAGTTTGAATTTTAAAATAATGCTTATTGTTTACCTGCTTATATATTGGAGAATTTTTCTTCATCATATAATATGTTTTTTCCATATAGATTTTGGATGTCAAATAATTAGCAGAAATATTTAGTGGAATAATCAAATTAAAATTTATTGATGTTCTAAAAACACTGTGTTAGAATATAAGCTCACTTAAAAAAAATCTTACAAAGAATGATAATGAATAATTGATTATAAGCAGTATTATCTTTTTTTTAATTTTTAGGCAATTGGGGTTAAGTGACTTGCCCAGGGTCACACAGCTAGTAAGTGTCAAGTGTTTGGTCTGAGGTCAGATTTGAATTCAGGTCCTCCTGACTTCATGGCCAGTGCTCTATCCACTGCACCACCTAGCTGCTCCAGCAGTATTATCTTATGTAGCAGAGAGAAGCAATGAAAGATTAAAGCAGTTTAAAGAAAGGATGGAAATATAGCCAACTAAGCAAAGACATCCTTAGGGAATTTATGATGAAAATGGAAGGAGCACAACAAACAGAAGAAAAATGCAAAGATTTGTAAAAAAAAACCATTATGACAACCTTTTTTTTCCTTCAAAGACAATAGAACCACCACACTTGGAATATAGTATCACAATTCCAGATGTGGGAGGTCAAAATGTCACAAAAGGGAGCAAAGATGGGAAAACCAGCCAGTTTGTTCCAAGTGTGTATATAAAAGATTTAAGGTGGAAGGGATGCAATTATGTGGGCATTGAGGGAATGATTTATCAGTTATCCAAAGGATGAAAAGACACAAAAGATACGGAGAAATCTCAGACCTTATTAATGTTGAGAAAAAGCAACTGAGAGAACAACTCAGTTCTCAGGATGCCTATCTTTCCTTTCTGCAGAATCTTTATGAGTCATTTCTATATGCATAAAGAGCATTCTTGATTAAGGCATTATGGGCTTTCTCAAAAGATATTCAACAATGGACCACATTTTCACGATTAACTGAAAGATGTAGAGAATAAAAAATCTCATTATGCTTATTGTTTATTAATTATGAAAAAGTACATGATCTGGTGAAACAAATCACAATGATGTAGACTATTTTACAAGATGTCTCCCATTCATACATCAAAATCATTCAAGGTTCCATAGAAGATGTGACAATAGAAATAAGTGTGTTCAGTGACCTCTAATTACAAAAATAAAGTGAGACATAAAATTAGAAGATGTATGGTCCCTAAATGTGTTTAACATTTTGAAAGAGGAGGTCAGCAAGTTGAAGAGAGATTCCCTAAGACAAGGTCCTCCAAGTGCTCCTGTTTGCCATGACATTGTGCTAATTGCATCAAGATCCCGCCCTTTGCAGAACTTCCTGGAAAAGATCTCTCAGAAGAGTTTGGGCAGACTATCCATGGAGGAAAGACTAAGTGGATGAAAAATGTCTATCAAAAAAAGAAAAGAATGTCTATCATCTAGATTACAACATGCATTTGGATGGAAAATCTGTATAAGTTCTTCATCAATACATATACCTGGGATAGATATTACCAGGTGAACAATGATGTATTCTCAAAATTAAACAAGAAAAGAATGTGCTGGATTGCCTTTAGCAAATTGTAAAGCTTCTTTAATACCAAGCTTCCCATGAAAGTAAAGGCCTATCTTCTTAATTCCAGTATTCTACTATTATTGCTACCTGGCAGTGAGATATGGAATACAATTATTTTGAAGAATTAAGGATGAATATCGCACATGGGAAATGGAGAGATACACTGTGGGTGTGAGTGGACCACAACATATAACCAATGAGGAACTCCAAAGGAGAAGAGTAATAGATGTCATGAAGGAATTACGTGATAGGAAGAGCACCTGGGCTGGTCATGTAATGAAAGTGAAGCACGACAGGTGGTTAGCCAGAACGCAAAAATGGTAACCTTACAGTGTCAGGAGAGAGTGAATAAAGCCTATCTCACAGCATGTGGGATAGGTAGCATGTGGAAAAAGTTGGATAACATAGATAAGCATGGATGGGTTGTAATCTCTTCTATTAGAGGGAACTTTCAAACTTTGAAATCACAGCTCCATTTGACTATTTGAGAGTTTAATGATTTTTTTCCAACCACATCTTTTATTCTTCTAGGTATATTTGTACAAAAGCTGTTAAATATTATATAATTGAAACTACCTATTTTTCTTTTTTATAACATGTGCAATATTGTATATAAACCACATTTTGTGAAGCTTTTCTCTGAAAGCTAGTGTGGCTAGCCATGGAGTCAAGAGGACTTGGGTTTAAGTGCTGTCTCCAATATGTACTCATCCTGTAGCTGTTGACAAGTCGCTTAACTTTTCAGTGTCTTAGGCAAATCTGTAAGACTTTAGATTATGGATAAATTGCTGATTTGCATTAGTAGAGGGAAGGAGTTTCCACACTGGTGGTTCTCCTATCGATAAAAATCACAGCCCTGGACCAAAATAAAATTTGTGTTGGTGATAAATTCATTCTTTATTCACTGTTCTCTATTTTTTTAATGACACAAAATCTTTATCTAGAGAGTTTATTCCTTGGGAATTTATTGTGAGATAGGGGGTAACCTGCACAGAGGTTTACTATAATGTCTCTTCATGGTATTCTAATGACATTGCAAAGCTTTTTTACCTACCCCAAGCACCACGTGGAAGTAAAGGCACATTTTTCAATACTAGCTTTTCAGTCAATGTTGCTATTTCAGAAAGAGGGCAATGGAGAAGTGTGTGGTGGGTATGTTCATGGTAAATAATATAATAAAGACTTCTGAAAAAGAATGGTAATAAAGTTGTCATTATGAATTTGTATGATAAGAAGATGATAGGCTAGGCATGTATCAAGAACCAGGGGTTGACTTGCTCGGTCTGTATCCCAAAGAGATCATAAAAATGGGAAAAGGACCCACATGTACACAACTATTTATAGCAGTTCTTTTTGTGTTGACCAAGAATTGGAAATTGAGAGGATGCCCATCAATTGGGGAATGGATGAACAAATTGTGGTGTATAAATGTAATGCAATACTATTGTTCCATAAGAAATGATGAGCAGGTGGACTTCAGAAAAACCGGGAAAGACTATTTCCATTTTTATGGATGAGGAAACTGGGGAACAGAGGGGTTGAGTGATTTGCTCAGGTTCACAACTAGGAGATGTTTGGACATAGGTGTCCTGACTCCAAGTCCAGTTCTCTATCCATTGTTATCATGTGATATCTGTCAAGGAGACTGGCTTTACTGTTATAGAGGGATCTCTGAACCTTATGGAATATTGTTCCTAAGATTTTCCTTAAGGATTTTCTTTCCTCTCTTTAACAGCGATAGCTCTTATTTTAGTTCCTTGAAGGCAAGGAGCACTCACACTGCTTATTTGCCCCTTCTTTACACCACGTTATTGGCCCACGCTTTTCCTAGTCTCTAAAAATGGATATTTGGTGAAGTGTTAAGAGCATTATAGGACCTAGGTTCAGATAGGTGCTCCATCATTTATCTGCATGTCCTTAGCCAAATCACTTAGCCTCAGTTTCTTTATCTGTAAAATGAAGGAGTTGACTTAGATGGCCTCTGAGGATCTTTTTATCCCATCCTAGAACTCTATATTTCTCATACAATTTCTTGAACCTATATCATTATTGGCTATATGCTACAACCTACTTGTACTCAGTATATGTACCCTTTGGTTAACTTGAAATTTTCATTCCTCAGAGATCAGGATGTTGTAAGAGTCCATCAACATTGCTGGGAAAACATTTCTATAGAAAATATTGGTCTTTGCACTGGAGTTCTGCTTGGGATCATTCTAAGAAGTGCTTGGTTTCCAAATTGCAAGCCACTTCTCTTTTTTTTCCAATCTATTCTGACTTCAAATTATTTTCCATAGTATATAATAAAATCTTGCTTAATTGGATTGTGGTTCTCAAAACATATTTTCTGACTTTCTATTTTATTTTTCTTTATATCATTGACCTTCCCATTTTTATTGTTCAAATCTACCTGTCTCTTTTAAGACTCATTTCTCTCCTTTTTTCTCTAGTTCACCTGCCTTGAAGTCATAGGAAAAGTAACTGAAAGGGACTGACCTGAGAAATAATTTTGTCCAACCCTTTAATTTTACTACAAATGAAAATAATGAGGCACAGAAAGATTTAGTAACTTGCCAGATTCATACAGATAGTAAGTAGCAGAGCTGAGGTGAACCTAAAATTGCTGACTCCATATTTTGATCTCTTTACAATGCAATGAGTTGCCTCTGTTTACTCTTACGGAGTTTTGTTTTATAGAGTTGTTGATAAATTGCTTCAGGTCCCTTAATTCTTAAATTATTTAAAGCAGTCAGACAGTTTGGTTGGATGATAGTAATTTGGGTTTCTATCACTGCTTTTTAAGGTCTGAGGAAGAATCTATGGTCACTAATTCTTGTACCTTTAACTGTCCTTTTTTTCTTGGCAACTTGTAACATTCTTTACTTCTATAGAACTGTCTGCCTTTTAAAGTTTAAAATCTTGATAAATAGCCACCTGTGAGATTTTCTATGAATTTTTTGACAGTTGATCCTATTTTGTAATTATTGCCTCTAGGCTTTTTACCTATTTGATCTTCATTTGGTATTACAAATATTTATTTATCTGACCTGGGTTGTTTATTACAAATTTGCTTATTATTCTAAAATCTTAACAGGGTTTTTAAGGTGATTGTTTTGCTTTGCTTCAGATATTACCATTTGTTTTAGAAATGGATTTAGCTATGGAAAGAGTTGTCCTTCACTGTTTATCAATTAAATTAAACATAAGTACGTATACACTGTGCCAGAGTCAGAACATTTTAAAATGACAATCTCTCTTCTCGAGCTTAAACTCTATTGGGGGAGGGAATAGAAGCATGCATTCAGTAAAGTGTATAAAGCAGAATATGATGAGGGTAAAGGAGAGATATAGTAGAGAAAGTGAGCTAGGACAATCTGAAGAGAAAAAGAATGCATTCACCTTGATGATCACCTTGAGGAGGTGTCTGAGCTTCGGAAGATAAGGATTCTTCTGAAAGACAGATGAGGAGTGAGTGCATTCACATTAGAGGCAGCTAAACAGTGCAGTAGATAAAGGGCCAGGCATCTGTCTACCCAGATGGTAAACATCTACTGGCATACCCCAGTTTACGAGGTTTTTATTTTATCCCTTTATTATTATTCAATTAAGATAAAGGGGAAATAGGAGTGACATATAGTAAATGTGTAATAAATAAATAAAATGAAAAATAAATTAGCTAAAAATAACAAAAATAGCCCAAGTGGTTCATCTTTATAGAATTATTCACAATAAAACAAATTATAGAAAGCATCCCAAGACTAAGACTAAAACTAGACACCTGTATAGATGCACAGACTCACAATCAATTGATTTTGCTTCACACATTACTAAGTATATTAAATTATTCTAGATCAATTAAAAAAACAACTTTTCATTCATATTATCTCTTCTAACCAATTTGAAATGGCCTCTACATTGGTTGATACTTTGTACATGACAAGCACAAAAAAATCAAAGAGGAAATGTCTGTTGTATTTGTTTGTCTACCATCACAACTTATTTGTAGAAACCCTTCAAGTATTTAGTGAAACTCAGGGTTCCATAGAACACAATTTGAAAAATTATGTTTTAAAGCTGAGGGCACTTTCCTTCTCTATGTTTTTAAAATATATTAAGTACTTTATGCTTCAAAATTGTTAAGCTACCGATGAAAAAATCAGTTAAAAATTCAATTGTTTAAAGCTGTTACCTTGCCAGTGTCATCACCACAATGATACATCTAGTTGTTTTGAAATTGGTTTAACATATAACTTTCAGTGTTTTCCCCATGTGTAAAAAGCATTTTAAAATGAATTATGATAGTTCACTGCCAGTTTTATATTGAGGCTTGTAAGCTGATACAAATACCCTGGGTCAGAGAATACTCAGAAATATTCATTGTGAGTGCTGATATAATTCTCTTACTCAAATTTTACCAAAATAAAATAGAGGGAGGAAAGAGGAATGACTAATTAGGTATATGTTTTTAATATGTGTCAGTGACTTCTCAGTTTTGTGGTATATTCATAGGCTTAGAAACAGCATGATTTAGTAAAAATAGTGGTGAGTATAGATTGAATTCTAGTCCTGTTTGCTTACTTAATAGATCTGTGAGTTGGAGCAGATTATTTTACCCCCGCAGCTTCAATTTCCACATCTGTAAAATGTGGATAATAGCTACCCTACCTATCACCTAGCACTTTTATGATGAAATATGATAAAAGTAAAAATATTTTGAAAGAAATGTTAAATGCGACATAAATGTAAGGTATTGATATTCCTTTCTAGAGTTTTCCATATTTTCAAGTGTTCTTGGTTTTATCTGTGACACAGGTGGCAGAAGCAACTGAGGAAACATCAGCTCTTCTGAATGGAGAACTTGGAGGAGGGGAACAGAATACTACAGAAGTAATAATTTTTTGTATCCTCTCTCCCAAACCTCAACTTCTTCTAATTTTTCCATTTATTCAGTTTAAAAATTTTCTGTGGTTGTGATGTTTCTACCCAACCTGGTTTCCTGGATCATATCAGTTTTTCAAAGATTTATCTACTAGTCTTCAGGATTTCCTGTGCTGTCTTATGATAACCACCTTATTTAAACTCCTGGAAACTTTCTTATCCTTAACTCATCATCTCTAACCTGGTTGATTTGATTAAAATAAGTACAGTAGCTTAATGTAACAGCTAGTTTTCTGTCTATTTGGTAAAGTTTTAGTGTCTCCACATTACTATCCACAACTCTCTGGGCTCTCCTCTGCTCCCCCACCCCCATCCATATTCCTACATCACACATTCAGAAGGCCATGTGGTCCAGAACACTAAGGCATAGGCTTCCATGATCCCCTTTCATGAATTGTAAAACTCTGAGCAAGTTACTTAACCTCTGTTTTTTTCCTTTTTTTGGTGAGGCAATTGGGGTTAAGTGACTTGCTTAGGGTCACACAGCTAGTAACTGTTAAGTGTCTGAGTCCAGATTTGAACTCAGGTCTCCTGACTGAAAGGCTGGAGCTCTATCCACTGCCCCTCCTCAACCAATTACTCCCATAGGCGTCTGTGTGTAAATTTCAGAGCAAATACCCACCTGCAATGGTAGAAGAATTTTCCTTATCAGGACTGCTTTCTGCCAATAAAATTGAAGGTCTGATAATAAAAAAACTACAGATAGTTTACTGGGACAGAGGACTATGCACTCTACTCTAGGCATAATGATTAAGAAGAAAAGATAATATTAACCAGATAATCTTTTGTCCCTGGAAACTATCATACTTAATTACCAGTTCCAAAGATCTTCCCTGGCTTAACATGCAAATCAATTTGAGACAAAACAAAAGTAAGTAGAGGAGGCAAGACACCTAGCCCACATTCCTGCCTTGGTTACATATTTCTTTCAGCAGCAGAACCTCATAGCTTTGGTGGTATATTTTAGCCAGAAAAAAACCCTCTGCTCTCACCCTACACATGTAATAAGTAAGAACAGAGCATTTCCCACCTTTTGCCCCACATAAGGTAAGGGTCGTGCCACTATATACAACATTCTGGTAGCTTAACTAAGCTTAACGGTACTGTATGTTTCCTCTGTGTTCAGGGAACAGACAGTGCTGAAGTAAGTGGAAAAGATGAGGTGCCAAAAGAAGACAATGAAGATGCAGACAATCCTCCTGAATCAGAAGTAAAACAGGCAAGTGGTTTCCCTTTCCCTACTTTTAATTTTCATTTTAAAAAATTCATGTTGATATGGGGACATCAAATATTTTTTAATCTTCAGGACCATATTTTCTTGATAAGGACTGAGAATTCTGTCAAATTTGGATGCTGCTAATTCAGAAATTGTGATAAATTAGACGATCTAGGAATTCTGGGTTGATTAAGTAAATAATCCCAGTTGTGACTTGGAACTGAGGATTGTGTGTGATATAAACCTTATTAGTTTGAATGTGAACCAGACCTTACTTTCAGCAACTCCCCCTGCATTTCCACCTCCCCTTCCTCCTTTCTTCCATCAGATACATAAATATGCAGAGTTTGGTTTGCATAAAATTTGAACAGTCTATGATTATGTTTTTGGTATCATAGGTGAAGAAGATATGATTAAAATTAGATTTTTGAAATTTTGACATATGTATACTTCAGTAGTTTGTACATACTTTATCATTTTTTTTGTACTGGACCTCTAATTTCACTGGCATATAGGAGTTTCAATGAGGTGATTCCTTCTACCAAAATAGATTGCTACCTGCTCTGTAATTTTATAGTCCTGGGGGCCCCAAGAAGTTAAGTGACTTGTCTAGGGTCACACAGCCTGGAAGTATCAGAAGCAAGGTCATTCTAAACCAAGGCCAATGAATCAAGGTCATTCTGACTCCTAGGACAATTCTCAATACAACCTATTATGGCTGCCTCCCTGAACATGTTTTGATATGGTAAATATATAGGTAACCACATTGAAATAATTTTGCAGAGTCATTTATTAAGACCCAGTTATGCAAATTTTAAACTTGTAGCTTCTGATGATGGTAAAATTACAAACAGTAGTATGCAGAAGAAAAAATACCCCAGAATGCCATTACTGAGCAGAAAACATTATAAGGGTCTGAACATGGTAGAAAAAAATGAGATTGATGAATTTATGTATTTCCCTCTGAATAAAGAGGGTAAAAGTTAAATAGTGGTGAGGTTCTCTCAAAACCTCCATTTAAGGAGGGCACCAGTGGTGCAATCCCATCATTTTGCACACAGCTGCACTTTCTGTATTTCATTTGCTAGATGGCACAATGGATAAAGTACTGCTCCTTGACTCAGGAAAATCTAAGTTCAAATCCAGATTCAAGACAGTTACTAGCTGTATCATCCTGAACAAATCACTGAACTTCTCTGTCTCACTTTCTTCCACTCTAAAATGGAAATAATAATAGCACCTACCTTAAAGATCTGTTGTGAAGATCAAATGAGATTATATTTTTCAAAATGTTTAGCATATCTAACAGAATGCATTGCATATTTACTGGATATCTATTTATTCCTGTATGAAAGTGTATGCTTTCTCTTTAGGCAGGAAAGTGTGTATACTGTATGTGACTACCTAATTAAAATGACTTTGTTTGCTGTGTTGTTTTGAATGGAAAATACTTATCCAAACAAGTGGCAAAATATTAGACTATAATAACTGAAAAAGGGCTGTACATAGCTCTTCACCCCTTTTTGCCTTTGTGGATGTATTGGCATCAGGTTTAGTCCCTTATTTCCTACTTTGAGTATCTAATGAAAAGATATTGTAGGTAATAAAAATAGTGGATTACATTTTGGGGGAGGGCTCCAATTAGAAGGGTAAGTATGTTTCTGAATACTTCATGACCAATCTACTACAGTATTACTGTATAAAATGTTTGAGATAACTTGTTGTCCATTGTGATATGACACATCATTTTTTATTATTTGTTCCGAATGTTTTAATTTTTTTAAAAGAATAAACAAGGAAATACTGGCTTAAAAAAAATGTTCAGCATAGTGCCTGGCAAGTAAATGCTTATTCCCTTCCTTCCCCCTCATTTTATCCTGCCCTCCTTTTTCTCTCAGAGTAACTACCCTAGCTTTCCACCTTCCCCTGCTCCCCCTTTTCATCTTCTTTACATGTCTTTAGCCATTAGATTGTGAGCTCCTTGAGAACAGGGACTGTTTTACCTTTATTTCTTTGTATTTCCAGAATATAGTAGGTGCTTACTAAATGTTTATTGACTGGCTGATTTGCACAGTGTCTTGTCATTTAATCATAAGCACTGTGAGGGTAAGCAATTTGTTTAAGGTCTTGCAGCCAGTATGGATTAGAAATGGGACTTGAACTCAAACTCCTGACTCCAAGACCTGCTCCCTACATAAGAACTAGATGATTTAAATAGACCAATCTCAAAAGTAAAAACCAGGAAGAACCTCCTTGCAAAAAGACACCAAAACTAGATAGATCCATAAGATAATTCCACTAAACTTTTAAAGAGCAAATTATTACTATGTAGAAAAGTATAGATGATTTCAAAACATAACTACTATAGAAAATAATGTAACACTATAGTCAGTGGCCTCCATTCAAGATTTCAATATTACAAGTCTGTATAGATGTCATTCCACTCTCCCAAACCCTGCCCCAAACATAATTAATATCAAGAGCTCTCAAGTAACAGGCTATCCCTTTAATGATCAGATATTCAAATAACTATTAATTAATTCTTCACTGAGAATTACTCAAATTAAGGCTGTCAGTAACTATTTTAACAATAGTACTAACAGCCAAGGCCCACCAGAAATCCCACAGCTGGGATTTCTGAATGATATGATTTATTACTAAACACATTTGAATGTAGTTAAGTGTCTGATTAAAATTATAACACTCAGCTATGTCCTCAAGTATTAATCTTTTTTACATAAGAAAAGCTTCATATAGTATGGGGCATGGTTTATTCAAGCATTTTCCTTTCCAGAACAGCAAATATGAAACCAAGGAATGTAATTCAATATTTTGTTCTTATTATGAAAATTTAGAAATGCCTATGTGATATTCATAACTGAAACACAAGGATGATTTGATATAAGGAAGGTAGTCAGTTTTTAGGAGAGTTGATCTTTGAGCAATCCCCTTCTCCCACCCCAGAAGTCCCATTACATTTGTAATTATGAGGCATTAAGAGGCCCTTTATGATATGTGAATACCTTTCTCTAGTGGAATTAAAGGGATCAGCCTTGTTGGACAACAAAAATTGCATGAACTCTTGCAGGGTTTTAAAAAGCTAAGACCTAAAGGCATTAGTTCAAGGCAGCGCAGGCTCAGGAGCTTTATGGAAGAGACCCCTGAAGATTTGGACAGAGGATTTCTTGTGTTAAACAAAGTGTTAATCAGTTATATAGTAACAGATAATCCATCCAGTTATTTAAGAGTTAATCAGTTTGAGAAAGTTTGATGCACAATTGAGGGGGCACAGCCAAATACAGACACAAAATCAGTCAATTGAGAGAGGAAGTGGCTTTTAGGAACAGGATCCATGGCAGCAGAGAAGACAGTCATGGAGAAGAGCAGATGTTGGGAAGAGAGCTAAGATAGCTGCCCAGGAAAGATTCAGCACAAGGACTCTATAATGACAGAAAGAACTTCTACACCCTTCAGCACCAGGAGTTGTGAGTGCCCTTTCCTATATGTATCTTCTCATGTGTGTTTCATTATGATTATACTCTAAGTTTAAGACTGTTCTTCTGATAGGGGGAGTGTATGTTTATGGGACAGTGTGTCCCAGGCTTATGGGGAGAATATTTTGTTTTCTTTTGCCATCTGAGTGAATGTATCAGTTAAGAGCTAATTATGAATACTAGCTGAGAAATGAGAAACACACTAGTGGTGGCTTATGAGCAATTGTTTTGGAAGAGTAAATCTATGAGCTGCCCCTAGAACCTTACAGTAGTAGAAGCTTCCCTCTGCATACCCAGCCTATGAGTGTTAGTGTGAGTTGGAGAGAGTAGTTCAGAAGGAGCATCACATAATAGATTTTCTTTATAAGAGAAAAATTCAAGTCTACATGATTATCTTAAATGAAGAGGAAAACCTTTTATAAAATACAGCTTGAAAAGTCCATGTGAGGAATGAATCAGACGTTCACACTTTGTGTGTGATCAAAAGAGCTAGGATCATTGCCAGTCCCCCATTACACTAATCCATTCAAAATATTTAAATAAAAGGTAGTTCAAAAGCTAGGACACTAGCAATTTGAAGGATCAAAAAAGGCTTCACATAGAAGTTGATGCTTAGGCTGTTTCTTGAAAGAAGACAGAGATCCATTGAAGCAGAAGTAAGGAGGGACTACAACCCAGGTATGGGAAATGGCCAGCGAAAAGACATGGAGATAGGAAATTGAGTGCTATGTATGAAGAGCAGAGAGAAGATCAGTTTGGCTGGATCTCAGAATGCAGATGTGAGAGTAATGCTAGAAAGATGACTGCAGGTCCATGTTATGAAGGGCTTTAACTGCTAAACATAGCTGTTTTTATTTTATCCTAAAAGCAATAAGGAGCCAGTGGAGTTGATTGAATTGGAGAATGACAGGGTCAGATTTGCACATAAGGAAAAAAAAATTTTGGCAGCAGTATGAAGAAGGACTGAATTG